AGTTTTAGATTTGCGTGGTTTTTTTTTGAGCTGCAAAATCCACTTGAACATGACGCTGCTTTTTCGAAGTTTCTCAAGAACCATTCGAGCCAGATAATTCCTTTTGGCATCGTTGAATAGAGAATTGAATGGGAGGGGTCATGGGTCAAGAGAATCAGWCTGGAAGCTGAAATGAACTTCGTGAAGCCGAAACGCCCGCACGCACCCCAAAAATGAGCTGCTTTAAGCAGCAAAGTGAAGTAAAACTTGAAATAAATGTGTGCATCTCTATCATCAAGCTTCGTCTATCTATTTGGTTTGAACAAGCCATAAATTTGCAGGTTCACAAAAATCGCAGCTGAACCAAACTGATGTTGATCAAAATACAATTTCCATGCAAAGCATCCGGGATGAACCGTTTCTGAAAACTGCTATAACCTTGCCCAAGCTATGTAATTACAAACGCGATTTAAGACGTACTCGAATGGAAATTATTTTCAAATTAAACAAACGGAAAGTAGATTCGGTAGTGAAAATTAAATCATTTAAAAGCACGCAACCATGTTGAAAGGTTTCGCCGAACTGATAGGTTTTTAATTTAGCCGGGAAAACCCCAATATGATTGGTTAATAATGACATAATAGTTCTCACTTGGCTTGAATTTCTGATTTCTGCCAGATCGTCTGCCCACCAGTCGATCATAGATCGACATTTTCTGATGCGGAATGTGGAGTTGGCCGTTCTCTGGATTGGCGTAAACCGAGTTGCCTCTTGGTCGGGAAAACAGGCCTCCAGAAGAGTAGGCGGTTGAGGCAGATCGCACCGAACCCATTCCCGTTCTGGATATTTGCCGGGAAAACCAATTTTGGCTCTTCCTCCGCTCCACTATCGGTGTATCCACACTTTCCTGCAGATTTAAAACGTTAGTAAACCCCAATCCCAAATTCCACGTCTAGAACTTACATAGTCGGCATACATATCATCTACTATACTCTTTTTAGCGTGTCCATGGGGCAAAATGTTCGCGTAAAGTCCATCGACTGGCTTCGGTTTGTACATTTCGGCGGAACCTTTCGGTTCCTCTTTCCGATAATGTTCCGAGCCGATTGTGTAGGGAATATCCTTTGGAACCACATCATCCCAATACTGATCCTTCAACAGCTCTGGATGTTCTTCATGCATTTCGTCCACAATTATATAGGCTGCCTGAAATAGAGTCGTTTGGGGCATTTATAAGGGCAAATTATACTGTATGGCTCTAAGGAAGTTTTCACTCTTTGGTGTCGTCGTGAAAAACAGTTTCTTCAAAACGCGAAAGTTCTATAAAATTGCGGGTTTTGAAACCCGCTCTTAATTTCTTGTTCAGGTTTCAATAGGCGGTTGAGCTGCAAGACTTGAGTGGACATTGCGGCATAGAGTCTTAAAATGTGCACTGTTCTATATAAAACATCAATTTAGGAATGTTTCTAGTTTTGACTCAAATTGCTCATATTCAAGATTTATCCGAATTTTAAAATCCGCTCTTAGTCTTTGGCTCATATTTTGAGAACCGGTCGAGCAGTAAAGCGCGAGTTTCTATTGCAACATAGAGCTTTAAAAGGTAAACTTTTCTATATAAAACATCAATTTAGGAATTTTTCTAGTTTTGACTCAAATTGCTGATATTCAAGATTTATTCGCATTTTAAAATTCGCTCTTAGCCTTAGGCTCATATTTTGAGAACCGGTCGAGCAGTCTCTAGTTTCTATTACAACATAGAGCTTTAAAATGTGCACTTTTCTATATAAATCATCAATTTAC